TTTAAACCAGTAATCACATCAACATTCATAACCTAATAGTTTATGAAATAATGACAACGTTTTCTTTTTCGTTTAATGACCGTAGGTTTCTTTCAAAGCCATAAGCCTTCAATATTATTGGTTCTGACTTAATTAAATTATTCCAGAGGTTCATAACAATCATTTAAGGGTTCAGAAACCCAACCCACGCTTCTGTTTGGGTAAAATAGCTCAAAATATGATTTTTTTTTCCAGAATATCTTGATATTCCTCATGGACATATCCGGATATTCACATACCCAATATCCGGATATCAATATTCGGATATCACAACCCAAATATCCGGATATCACAACCCAAATATCCGGATATTTTGCGACAGAATGCAGTTTTGCATTTGCGCGAAGATATCCCTTCAAGTTCCATTTTTAACACTTCCGGACTTTCAAGCATGCATTTTTAGACACATTTAAGCAAATGTTTATGTTGGTTACCTACTCATCTCATTTTACATGTCAAGACTTCACTTTTAACAAAGAAAACTCATGAACAAGGTTCAAGAACATACTCCAAGGCTCAAAACAGAATAAAAGGGTGCTCTTAGAGCTCTCAAAGCAGCTCCAAAAATCTGACTTCACCAAGCCACGAAAAGGAGCAACAAGATTGGCCCTTTCTTCACCAAGCTCACCACTTGGTGCTTCAACAACCAAGGAAATGGTTCCCTCTTCACTTAACCAAGAGGTCAGCCCCTCACACTCAGAAAGAAGAACCTACAACTCAAAATGACAAGCTTTTCAACCATCCAAGGCTAGAGTACACTTACACATGGAGGTTTAGTGAAGGAACCAAGAGGAAAGGTGGTCTATTGTCTCACAAGGTTAAGGGGAGGAAGGTGGTGGCTGATGGAGAGCAAGGTGCCTTCAGAATTTCACGTAGGAGACACTAGGAAACTAACCTAGGTCTTTGTGCCAAGTCTATATATAGTTCACTTAAGTTTTAATTGTCGATATTAGCACTAATAGCTCCTCTAATCATTTTAATCTCAAACTTGAGATTCTGAACTTAGCCATTTTTCTAGGATTTTTCATATTTTTATTTTATTTTTCGCAGCACTTTGCCGGTCCACGCTTTTACGTAGCCGGTATCAGTCCTGACATCAAGTCTCATTATTTCAACTCCAAACTTGTTATGCTAGTCCTAGATATTAATCCAGTGATATATACATACTTTTCATAATTTTTCGGGATACTTCATCCGTACGCACTTATACCGTGTGGCAGAATCAGTATCTGCATTTTTTGTCAGAAAAGCGACTTTCGACATTATTAAGTCCTTATATTAATTATTCAAGTCTTTTCATAATTATTCAAGGTCAATTATGAAATTATTTTCTAATATCATAATTATATTAATTAAATTCCTAAATTAACGGTGCGGGTTCTTACAATATTCAAGTGTGATGAGTCTCACATTGATTGGTAATAGGCTACGTGAAAAAGTATATAAGTGGAAGGACCCATGAATCCCCCAAGTACCCAACCCTCCTTCTAGCCAATCATAAGGCTAGCTCGAGCACAACTAGACTCTGATACCACTATCAGGCGGGTTCAGGGAAAGCCCGTGGCGAGGGACCACTACTAATGGGCCAAGCTACTCCAAATACACCAAGTGAGTCCGACACCTCATCTCAACCCAAAACTATGGGTGTTCGCGGTCTGGATTGGATCGGTTTTGGACGTAAAAATCATATGATCCAATCCCTTCGGTTTGAATTTTTTTTCAAATCCGATCCAATCCAATCTAATTTTATTCGGTTCGGATTGGATCAGTTTTTGGTTTTTTGAAAAACTTAAGATTTGTATGATGATTATTTGGAAAGTAACATATCTTTTATATGTATCGGCTTTGTACAGTTTGTAAGATGATTATTGTGCAACCTAAAAGCATTGTACAACAAAAAGTTAAATTATCATCTTTTACTTTCAACAAAAAATTTATAATATGGTTGCACGAGATACGAAGTAACCCAAATTTTCATCCTATAGAGAGCTGTTGTATAACCTATGTAATAAAAATATATTATGTATCTTACCAAAAAGAGAGAGCATGACATAGATCAAGCACATCTCACTTTCTCCAACATGATGGGTTAATGGGTCTTGGATTGATAATTTTGCTATATGGTTCTTGAACTATGATTGGGGAAAGGCCTAAGTAAGTAGATGGTAAGGTTGGGAAATAATTGGATTGATTTTGATTCGATCGGTCAAAAATCGATCCAATCCAATTAAAATTTGTGGTTTTTTTTTTTTCGGTTTTTCGGTTCGGCCACCACGATTTTAATTGGTTGATGAACACCTACCCTACCCAAAAATTGATCCAATCCAATTAAATTTTGCGGTTTTTTTTTTCGATTTTCGGTTCGGCCACCGCGGTTTGAATTGGTTGATGAACACCTACCCTACCCAAAAATCGATCCAATCCAATTAAATTTTGCGGTTTTTTTTCGGTTTTCGATTTTTCGGTTCGGCCACCGTGGTTTGAATTGGTTGATGAACTCCTACTCAACCCGCCTCCTAGCCAATCCAATGGACTAAGCGGATCAAATACACCAAGTGAGTCCAACACCACTTATATACTTTTTCACTTAGCCCATTGATATGCTCTCCCCCTTCAACGGAGTACTCAAGCCCCAATACTCAACCTGTTTCCTAGGCAATCACCAGGCTAGCTCGAGTCCAACCTGGCTCTAATACCATTGTCAGGTGGGTCTAGGGTAAGCCCGTGACGGGGGACCACCACCAATGGGTTAAGCTAGCCCAAATACACCAAGTGCGTCCGACACCACATCTCAACCCAAAACCTTAAGGCATTGGGTTCATGGATCCTTCCACTTATATATTCTTCACTTAGTTCATTACCAACCAATGTGGGACTTATCACACTTGAATATCTCAACAAGTACGAAAGGATAAGTGTTCTTTCATCTCTTAAGAAATATTCGATTAGAGCTACATTAAATGTTATCTTGCAAGTTTTGTTGGCGACTTCTTGGGACAGAGAGTGAAGTCTGAATGAAATTCCTTTTAACTCTTGTTTGGGAAACAATAAGACGAGGAAAGAAATTAGTTTGCTAATATATGTGTCATGTTTAGATCTATTGGTAACTTTCGTTTGGTTCGCTGTCCCTCTTCTTAATGCTTTCCAAACAAAGGGCTTTATTCATATTCTACTTGTCGCTATAATCAATTGTTCTTTGTCATCTAGATTTATTTTTTTTTATTTTTTTTGTGCGTGTGCGAACAGCAAATGTGATGTATATATTACTGTTCTTGAAGTCTTTTTGGTTTTGATTGTCTCATGACTCTCATCGCATTAATCACTATGTTACTACCATCCATTATACATGATTATTCTGGTATGGTGAGTGAGCTTGGATTTCCATAACCTTTCTTATGACCACGTGATACAATGTTTTTGTTAGATGGTTCATTCTGGCACAGCTACAAAACTCAATCTATTACACTCTTCTTTAAACTGTAATTTGATATATGATTTTATAAAATAAGTATGCAACTGTGGGAGGGTGTTGGTTTACATGTATATGTGCGTTAACAATGATACATTGATACAAATTTACCACTTATAGTTTTGTACAAGTGGGATATGTTAGGAAATGCAAAGCAAAAACCCTGCAGTGATTTGTAGGGAATTGAAATTAAGAGTATAAAGAGTGTTGAAAGTTGAATAGATAATTGTAGACTAACCAAAATATTGGATGCAAATTTTTTTCCTTAAAAATTTAGAATGTAGTGATGATCCTTTTATTGATAAAACCTGCTACTCTTACCATATATAATAGCACCCTCATAATTTGTGCTAAATCATGTGTTTAGCCGTATATATGTTATTCTGGAACGAAATTGTGCAGATGCCATATAAGTGCAATTTATTATTTTCAGGGTACATGTTAACCATTGTAGTTCTTCCTTTTATTATGGCTTCTGTAATTAAACGTCACATAGGAATTTCTCTTTCTTGCAGTTGTTATTCTTCATTCTTAGCTTTATCAAGATTTTTAATACTCAAGCATGTTACTAATTGAGTTTTTGTTTTGATATTTTTTAGAGCTTGATCTCTCAGTTCCAAGGTGATCTGTTAGATGAGAGACTTAAGAATGCATTTTCACTTTTGTAAGGTTGGATTTGAGCAAGATGCTGTATTCACTTATTCTTTCAGGCTGAGAAAATAGTTTTATAATCAATGAAAATTACCTGCACTAATCCATACGTGCTTTTATATGCATAATAAGAACGGTAGACTCTGTACACCTACCTCTGTTATTGTTAATGAACTCCATCAAGTTGAATGTCTTTTTACTCATCCTCCAGCCGTTTTTTTATTATAAAAGTTGCATCAAGATATCATGATCAAGTGTAATGGAGGGGACATGAATGGGGAGAGGGGTAAGGAGGTGAGATTCTCAGAACCAAATGGAGGAGAAGGGGTGCCAATATTGGTATGTGCCCTGGCTCTGCTCCTGTGCCAAGCCATTTCTTGCGGTTTGGGGCACCCCGGATGTTTGTGAGGTGGATTATCTTGTTGCTGGCTTTAAGATTGTTGTATAAACCTAGTGTACCTTATTTCAGTGCATTAATTTCCATCAAACAATTATTATATTCATATTAATAATGTGTTCAAACTTTATTGGTTCAATGTATTCAATAAATTATACAAGAATCTCTCTGTTGCTTGAGTATTCTACACAAGCCTATTAGTTTTGTGACCTTTTCCTCAGAAAACGTTCCAATATGGTTAAAAAAATATGGTTGGTTCGATATTTGTTCCCCTCTAGTTAAGTGTGATCCCCGACGACATGGGGTATATGTTTAGTACGCTGCAAGATGTAAAGTGAAGCAAATAAATGAACAAACGACTCAAAACTTAGGATCATGAAAACTGAAAGCAGTCCTTCATTTCTTATTTAGAAAATCCGACAGACACGCTTCTGTACTGCGGATTCATGTGGTACAAAACTCTCTTATATCTATCCAACTAGAACCTGCTTCTTTCCTCACTCGTTTCGTACTCATTAGGCCCCTAATTACATTCACATCTTCCCATCTTCCAAAAGATGCATACATATTAGACATCATCACATAAACATAATCTTCATTCCTATCTAATTCAATCACCTTAGCAGCTGCAATCTCCGCTACTTGTAAATCTGCCTGAGTTCCACAAGCACCAAGCAAAGCCCTCCAAACCACTCCATATGATTCAAAACCAAATTCATGTATCATACTTTCTGCTCTCCACAACTCTCCTTTTTGCCCCATCAGCCTTATCATTGAACAACAATGCTCAATGGATGGTGCAATCCCGTGTTCATTGATCATAGATTTAAAGTAATGAACAGCAACCTCAAATGGTATTTGGTTATGGGAACATGCTGATATAAGGTTAAGAAATGTGATACCATCAGGTTTTGTATCTCTTTCCATTTTCAGCAATTCGAAGAGGTTGGTAACTTGTGCAAAATCACCATTGCGAGCATGGCCAGATATCATTGCATTCCAGCTTACCAGATTTTTGTTAGGCAGTGCATGGAAGATTGATTCGGCATTCTTCACCTGCCCACATTTTGAGTACATATCGATTAGGGCGCTCCCAACAACTACAGATGCATAAACACCACACTTTATTGTGCAGCAATGAATCAGCATCCCCCGCGTGAAGGCCGACAGACCAGCAATTCCATCTAAAATGATAGAAAATGTGAACTCATCCATCTGTACCTTTCTTGAGTGCATTTTACTGAACATATCCCAAGCTTCCCGAGCTCGATTCCTATTCACTAAACCTGTAATTATGGAATTCCAAGAAGATGAATTTGGACTTGGCATAGTTGATAGAATCTGAATAGCATGTTCTATATTCCCCGCCTGAGCAATGCCATTTATCAGCCCATTATAGGAAATAGTATCAGGGTTTGGCATGAGGTGCAAAAACTTGTATGCAAGTTCAATGTTGCCGTTGTTAGCACTTGCTGCTATGACTGAATTCCAAGAAATAACGTCCTTGTCAATGATCTCAGAGAATACCCGGACAGCATGTTCGACAACCCCGCATTTCCCATACATGTCAATCAAGCTGTTTGCAACAACAGTACCATTAGCCATGCCCAATTTCACTATCTTGGAATGAATTGAGCTTCCCAGTTTCAAAAGACTCAGTTGGGCACAAGCACCCAAAGCAGACGTGAACGAGAATGCGTCAGCACAAATGTGGGACCTTTCTAAGCCTGTAAAAATCGACAACGCTCTTCGAAACTGGCCAGCGTGGACATAGCCAGAAATCAAAGTGTTCCATGAAACTACATTCGGATGAGGATTTTCAACAAACAATGTGTGGGCATCACTAAGTGAGTGCATTCTAACATAAAATCTGATAAGGGAGGCAGAAACATAGTTATGTGAACAATACCCGAAACGTAAAACATAACCGTGAAACTGTTGCCCCAATGAGTAATGGCCCATGTCAGTGGCAGAACAAACGAGGTGAACAAGAACAAAGGCATTTGGTTTAATACCAGAAGCTAACATTCGAGAGGCTTCAAGTAATGTCAACTCAGAATTGGTTCCACCTTTGGCATGGGCCTTAGCCCCTGTGATATTCATCCAACTGAAACTATTGCTTCCAATGCTACTATGGATGTGATTCAAACTAGTTCTATATGCAAAGGATGAAGGAAATGCAAAGGGACCATAAGGCTTCTCGAATTTTCGTGCTTCTTTGCAGAGAAACCTTCGCATGGCTTTCCCAATTCAACCTACATTTTTTCATTTATAAGAAAAGTAGGATCTCCCAACCTCACATTTTTTAAATATTCCCACACACAAAATTTTCTCTCAACGCCAACTTTTTTTGAGGGGGATATTTTGACTATCAAAAATGTCTACTACCACCTTACTACCTATCAAATCACCATTGGATTAAAGAGAGAGAATGTTAAAAAGTTTTTAAAGAGAGAGAAAATGTTAATCTAATGGTGATTAAATAGGTAGTAAGGTGGTAGTGAAAACTTTTGGTAATCAAAATATCCTCCCTCACTTTTTTTCCCAACTAATTTATTGTTTGGGTAGAGATAATATTTTTTTGATGTACCCTTTATTTATTACAACTATTCATCAATATCATTCTATATGTAAGCCCTCTCTCCAATTCCCAAATGGGAGAGCGTGGAGAGAGTCTATGAGATCTTAGTGAATTGAAAAATGTGTATAGAAGAGTATAACTGGAAAAAAAAATTAATTTATTTCAATTTAAATAAATGATTATGAATATAAAATTATTTCGAAGTTATTTATGAATTTATTGCAATTATGCATGTCCATTTTAGACGTGATCACTCACGTCTAAAGAAGGCGTGACCACAAAGGCAGTCACGCCTAATCTAGACGTGAGTTACCCGGTGCTGACACATGACATAAAAAAATCAACATTTTAACCATAAAACTTCGGAAGACAATAACATTGGCCTCGGGTGCTCAAATCAGGTAATTTTTTTTTTATTCCAAGTCAATTTTTGAGATTTACGCAATTCATTTGGCATAATTTATCTCTCACAAACTCAAAAGCCTCAGAGTTCTTTCCGAACAAGTACCATGAGCTGCAGCATTGATGGAGAGAAAATCATTGTCATGATTAGAAACATTCCTAGCAAAGATCCCTATAATTACGGTACTATTGTTGCAAATTCAAACTATATTTATGAGAGACGAAACTTTAACTTAAATAGCATCATTCACACTAACAAATATAAAATATGAGGAGGGATATTCTTACTACCAAAATTTTCTACTACCAACTTACTACCTATCTAATCACCATTGGATCAACATTTTCTCTTTTTTCAAAAACTTTTTAGCATTCTCTCTCTTTAATTCAATGATGATTAGATAGGTAGTACGTTAGTAGTAAAGAAATTTGGTAGTAAGAATATCCTCCCTCATAAAATATACCATACGCTTTTATCTTAAAAAGTTATGCGAAATAAAAAAAAGTGATTTGGGCATCCGAGACCAAAGTTATAGCCTTCTAAAGTTTTACGATAAAATATCCCTAATTTTGGAAAAATTTCACCAAAATTTCCTTCAATGAGATATCATTATGTAGATCTCGAAAAATTATGTGAAATCAATTTTTTTTACCTAATTTGGATACTCTAGTCAAAAGTCATGCTTTTTCAAAATTTTACGGTCAAGCTGTTGACTTTTTTATATCACGTGTCAGCATCGAAAGTGAAGTTGGTTACGCCTAAAAGATGCGTAAGTGGTCACATCTTTTTAGGCGTGAATGCCTTGTAGACCATGCCTAAGTTAGGCATGAATGGTTTGTCCAATTTGAGCATGAATAACTGCAATCGTAAATAATTTTGAAATCGTTATATGTTCGTAATTATTTATTTAAATTACAATAAAAAATTTTTGGCTACATGATGCATGTAAAATTTCTGTCCATAACTTTAAAAATAATATACGAAAGACACTTTGAGGGTTAAATGTGTTTCTTGTACACCATAATATTAAATAGGTTGACCTTATATACAAAAAAATAAAATAAAATAGGTTGACCTTATCACTATTATGTATTATGTATATATATTTAATAGTTTTGATCATAACCATTAAAAGTCAGACGAAAAGACATATTGCATTGATTGTTATTTGTTGCCACATAACACAAAAGACACACTAGGAGGGTTAATGCGTTTCTCATTATGTCATATGCACTTTGATATTAAATAAGTTGACCTTATCTCTATAAAGTATATATATATTTAAATTTTTGACCGCAACTATTAAAAAATATACTTTTTTATTTTTTTATTTTTTCGCTCTCCAATATTATTAGATTATAATATTAAAAGGAGAAAGAAATAATAAAAATAGTTGAAATTTTATATTTTATAAAAAAAAGAAAGAAATGATACGTATAATTGCTACACATATATAAAAATTACGTGGAATTTATGTTTTCTTTTTCTCTTTATTGGGCCCACACACCTTGTATATACAGGAGATGAATACCTATTAAAATTTCTATTTGATCTGTAAAATTGAAAACGGTAGGGATATAATACTTCTCTATTTTTAAGGAAAAATTCTAGATTTAGATAAAAAGAATAATTTCAACGTTGACCAATTACCTCTGTTTATATATAGCAAAAGTGAATAATTGAAAAATTCTGACTGTGAGAGAGAGAGAGAGAGAGGGAGGGAGGGAGGGAGAAGGGGTTGGTAGAGACACCAAAATCGTGGAGGTTGGCTCAACTCAAACATGGAAACAAAGAATTATAAGGGGTAAATGCAGGAGCAGATAAGCTAGCGTATTTATTACCATTTCTGAAACAAATAAATGCAATATGAGTTTTCAAAACACAATTGAAGGGAATTTCCGCTGTATGCAAAAGAGAATGAAGAGAGGATAGGATGCAATATATCCTCTCTTGATAACAGGAAACAATAGACCCCCATTTTGATATAATTTCAATTTGTTTGGAAGAAAAAGATGACAATGGAGGACAAGATAAATAAGAGAGTGATGGAAGATGTAGCAGTTATCGGAGGATTAATAGGAGTCCAATTTATCTACGCAGGGAACGCTGTGTTGATGGGTTATGTTATGTCATTGGGTCTCACCTCATTTACCATTATCATCTTCACCTCTCTCGCTGCATTCTTTATTCTCTTCCCCGTTGCCTTTTGTGTTGAAAGGTCCTCTCTCTCTCTCTCAAATGAATAGTATAAATGTTATTTTCACTTTATATGCTCTGTTTGAATGGGCATTATTTGAAGATTAATTTTCATGATGTTATTATGTATCTGTTGCAGGAGAAAGTGGCCCAAGAATTGGAGTTTCAAGTTGATTATGCAGCTATTGTTTCTTTCATTTGGAGGGTATGGAAATCTTATAACTTATTCAATCACTTCCTTTTATCATTTATTTTTATTTTTATTTTCACAAACGTTCCGGTTAAGTGTCTGGAAAAAAAAAATGATAAAAGATTGGTGATGAAATTAGATTAATTCAGTTTCTGTTTACATAGTCCGATATTTTGGGTTATCATATGGTTGCGGTACTGTATCCCTCATGGTAATTTGTAGAAAACACAACAATCCCCAAATTTAGTCTTATCCAATTTGTAATATTAATAATCCTCTGTATTAGTGGTTCTGATATTTGCAGGGTCTGTTTCCCCCTCTGACCATTTTGCCACCGGCACCTTCACTGCTTATGTATTAGTACTATGTTTTCCTATGTGTGTGTTTCGGTTCTTCAAATTTCTAAAATAAAATACAAAGTTTTTTTTTTTTTTTTTTTAATACTCTTGCCTGTTGTGATGCAGATTAGCTTTCCAGACTTTATTACTCAAAGGAATCAATCTAGCTTCGCCAGCAATGGCAACTGCTATGCCAAATCTTGCCCCAGGCCTTATCTTCATCATCGCATGGACTTTCGGGTAAATCTAACTTATTTTATATGGGTTTTGTTAATTTTAATATGAGTTTTATAAGAGTTATGTTGTAGGAAAAATAATTGTGTCGTGTTACTGAGATTCGTTTTCATGCTTTAGATTTTTATTTTTATTTTTGCTTCAAAAAATATGGGCCCCACAAAATGTTGTGTGTATAGGAAACTTTACCATGTCATGTTAAAGTACACGCGAAAACCCCTTTTAATATTGCTATAAATCATTCCAAATGGTGAATGAGGTAATATCAGGAAATAAAAAGTGGTTTATTGTAGAGGTTGGTGAAATTACTATTTAGCATAAAATGGGTTTTATGGGAAAGTATGGGAAAATCACACTTGGACATTTACACAACTACTTTGTCAGAAAAATAGAATGTTATGATTCACATTTGAGCCAAAAATAAGTAAAATGTTTATATGCTCTCAACAATGCCAGTAGAAGCCTTCTATTAATTATCCCTCTGGTAATGGTCTAATGGATTGGAAATTCTTATATTTGGCAGGTTAGAGAAAGTCAACTTAAGCAACAAGAATAGTAAAGTAAAAATCTTAGGAACATTGCTCTGTGTCATGGGCGCTCTCATAATGAGCATAATGCAAAGCATTTCTACTCCTGCAACCGAGAAAGAGGTTAAAATTCAATTATCATCGACACCATCAGATTCTATCTTTGACATGCAGAAGATAATCGGATGTCTCTATCTCATGGCTTCTATCCTCATATTGTCAAGCAACATCGTCCTGCAGGTAACTTGGAATCAGATAAGAAACATGACACAAATCTTTTTAATTTCATAACTCTTAATAAAAATTGTTGTTCTTGTAGGCTTTTGCTCTTGGAGATTTTCCTGCACCCATGTCCTTGAGCGCAATAACGTCCTTGCTTGGGGCTTTCATGACTGCAATTGTTCAGTTAGTTGAAGATCACGAAGTGAAAACTGGTTGGCCACTTGTGAGTTTTAAGGACCTAATTGGCTATTCTTTTCTGGTAAATTTTCACTCTTCTCATTATTTTACTGGTGATTTGTGTGCTCATTTGTTTGGCTTTCATAGTAACAAATGCGTTTTGATACTAAGTTTAGTCTAGCATGTTTAAACAGTGATAAAATGGGCCAAAGAATTGGGTAGAGTAGTCTAGCTTTAAATTTTCATTCTTATTTAGCAAAGCATAGTATCTAGTGAAACATTTGCAGGGATAAGAAGCGTGGTCATTTCTGTCATCCATGTATGCAACTTTTTATATTATCCCTGTGATGGGTATTAAAGGCATAAAAAATTATAAATGCACAGGGAGGTGCAGTGAGTGGAATATGCCTAAGCTTCAGTGGGTGGGCAATTGAGAAGAGAGGGCCAGTCTTTGTCTCCATGTTTAGCCCCATTGGTACAGTCTCCACCGTCATTTACTCAGTTGTTACCCTTGGAGATTCTATTAATTTTGGAAGGTACCTATTAAAATTCCCAACATTTGACTTTTGCAAACTATATTCCCAATTGTAGTATCTAATTCCTCCCTACAACACTGCATTGCAGCATTGCAGGTATGTTCCTCATGTTCACTGGGCTATACTTGGTTCTCTGGGCCAAAGGGAAAGAAGTCTATGCAGATGGACATGAATTAGAGAGTGAGTTTGATGCAGAAAAGCCTCTTTTATGTTGATGTGTTTTTCAAATGTGAACAAGTAATATGTACATTGTACTTTTGTCATCATGCTAGAAACAGAGGAAATAACATAGGAGAATTTAAATATGGTCAATTTAAGTACTAATTAAACAAGTAATGCATTTAAATAAGCTTAATGACAATTGGCAACCAACATGTATCTATTGAGACAACATGGCAAAGCAATCTGTATATGTGCTGTCAACAATGTACTTTATATTTAACAATGTAATGGGATGTGTAAAATAAATTAAAGCACCCACATTTTCAACTTTGTTTCGCAGAATCTTGAAGCAGCTGCTCCCTTGATGTATTCGAGACAAAGAGCATACGTAGGAGTACCCTGAGAAAAAAGGTAGAAGGAGTCTCTTGGGTTTGAAGGAATGAAACATGAGACCATAGATTTATTTTATTTTATTTTTTTCCTTAATGAAATTCTTCGGTTAGATAGATATGACATTTTTAGATGCAAATGAAACAAAATCACCCCTTAGATAGGAGCAGAATATTTTGTGACGCTGTTCTGCTATTGATAAATCATGTTGTGTGAAGATTGTTGGGTCGTTTGGTTTCATATTTTGTTAAACATATCTCACTGCCTTACAATATGTCCTCTGCTTTGAGATGAGAAGAGAGGAATATAAACTGGTTGGTGCGGCCATATGTGTAAGTGTAGTTGATGCCGACTTTTTTTTTTCGTCTTGATCCTGATTATTTTATATTTCCTAGATTTATTATCATTAATTTGGATGCAATTTGCCATTGAACAAACAAGTTATCCATGATTTCCTAACTCAAATTAAAAAAAGATAAAAGTTATCCATGATTCAATTTTGTTTTTGGATAAATCCCAGTTAATAAGTTGTAAGTTGTGTTGAACTAAAATAATAATCCTGTGAAAAGGACCATCAGAGATTATTATATTCTACAGTTTTATTTTGTGCAAATAGAAAATTATATTGAAAAAAACTATGGTTACATGCTATTTTATAGGAAATTAAATTTTATAACCTTAGATGTTATAAAAATGCAACCTAACTATCCATTCAGCTTCGTCACTTAGGTCACACAAAAAATTTACGTATGCACAAATATTTAAATGTTTCCCCTCTTAATAAGTGTATCATAAAGGTAATTCTTTAGGTATACCTCTACCCCTAACTAATAGTATTATTTTTTTCACCGAATGAAAAATAATGCTTCTTTTATTCAACTTCATATTCTTTTTTCCCTCTAGGTGAAGTCATTTGATTGCATAAGTTTACGTTTAATGTGGTAAATTGCAACAATGTGGAGAATTCCTAGAAGCCAATTTATACATCAGAACAATTTTTGAATATAATTATTTTCTTTATTTGTAATGCGCCAAAACTAATTTGACTCTTAGGTGTAAATCATATTAATAGGTAGGGGAATCGTCGATTTATAATTTTTTTTTACAAATTACATCAAGAATGTATGACCGGTCATACATTCTTGATTGAAGTATGACCGATCATACTTAATGTAATTTGTAAGAGTTTATAAATATAATTTTTTCCTGCCAGGTGACTTTCAACTTTTATTGTTTAAATAAAGGAAAAAGTATGTATCATTTTAAAGAATGTAAAGTTATATCATTTTAAATGAGAAAAAGAGATAAATTATAGAGAAGAGAGTAGATCAAAAAAAAATTTGGATCTCACTTTTTTGTAAAAGTGAAATAACACATATCATATCATTTAAAAAGATAAATATTTTTTCCTTAAATAAATCACAACCATCCAAGTTCACTAAAAGGTCACATTAGTCACGTGACGTTTGGCTGCCCCAACAAATAAACGTAAGAGATAAATAATATAAAATGATAAACCTTGACGGATATAATATCACTTTAAGGTAGATAGATTGTTCCAAACTTCCAATTACTCCGATCAGAGTAAGATGTGTATCGAAGAAAAATTTGTTTTCGTTTACAAATTTTATTTACAAATTATACCTAATATATTTCTGAGAATATATAGTATAATTTATAAAAATTTATAAATAAAAAATTTATAAATATAACCCTCTCTTCAATAATAATATCAATACAAATTTTCAAAGTTTGAAACTCCTGCCTTCTTCTAACCAGACCACAAAACGTTGGTAATGGTATGCCATCCCACAATTATAAAATAAAAATAAAAAATGCCAACTTATAATTGAAATCAAACTAATGAAATCCAAAGCATGGATATCGCGAAATATGGAAACAGATGCTATATATGTTCATTGAATATATATTCATAATTCATTAAATATATAAGGAAAGATAGCTAGGCGAGTAAAATAATTGGGGAAAAAAGTCATCAAAAGGGTTGGTATTTAGATCTTGTTTGGCACAACTTTTTTAAAATTAGAATTTATTTGTAAACTAAAATTAAGAAAAATAATGTATCAAAAAAAATTAAGGAAAAGAATTTAAAATAAGTTAAAAGTTGTTGAATAAATATATAAATTTTTTAATTTAAAAGTTATTTTAAAACTCAAGCGAAAAATAAGTTGTTGGGTAAAATAATCTTTTTTTTTTTTTTTGTAAATAGGTAAAATAATCTTTATATGTTCTGTTTCTAGTTAAAATAATCATAAAAGGTATTAGAAACCATTATTATTTAGAAAAACATAAATATGATAAGAAATAAAAGACAATGACTTAAAAAAAATGAATAAAACTTTCTTACTAGATGAGAGTTTTATTCAAAAAGATTTGTATTCAAAGAAAACTTTTTTTTTTTTTTTTGGTACATTCAAAGAAAACTTTTATCAGTAAGCACTTAAGCACCCACATAGCGGAAAAAATGTTTGCAGAAATCGATAACAAAATAAATTAAAACCCTTTATTGGAATTTAATGTCAATTATTTATGTGGAAGAAGGAAAAATCCTTATTTTTTTATGCAACTATAGATAATAGTAGAACCAACTCCTTGGCTGGCAAAACTCTTATTTTTTTGGTTTTGTTGGCTAACATGAAGAAAGAAAATTAATATTATGATTTATCCCAATTATGTATAAAAAATACTAAATGTTTTGAATTTTAAAATATTAAATATTTATATTTTTTATGTACTAAATTTTAATTTTCATTTATTAATATATCTTGAAAGACGCCTGTTAAAATCCTTTTTTTACTTTAAAAAAAATTAAAAAGTAATTCTGCTTTTATTGCAAAAAAAAAAGTTCTCCACTTCATTCATATAAAAATGAATGGTCCTACTAATCTTTTCTCTCTCTCCTTTTTATAATGGTATCACTCACTTCTATATAGGTGTAGAAGAGAAATTTTTTCTGTAACAAAAACAGAAACATTAAACCAAAAAAAAAAAAACAACATGCAATTTTAGAGCTTTCCAAAGGACACTTTAAATTTTTTTTCTCTCGTTTTATTAAGAGCCGCTATCTTTAAAGCCAGAAAAAAAAAAACTTACTATAAATTTTTTTTAAAAAATTAAAGAAATCTAGTTATAATTTATTAAGATTTGAGGACAGTTAATTAATAAGTGAAAGTGGTGGAAACCATTCTAACAAAAAGTTCTAGCTATCGTTGGGCCATTGCCTTTTTTCGATTGCCAAAAAATAAAACTTAAAAACTATTTCTCTTCTTTTTTTTCTAAAAAAATATTTTTTATTAGAGTGGCCAATTATTTTGGTTATGCTGTTGTTCTCTTTAATCGAAGGGTATCCATAATTATTCATTTAAATTTGTTTTAATCACAAATCACTAAATGAGTTAAAAACACAGAAAAGTTAATGGTTATAACATTGGGATTTTTTTCACATGAAAACAATGTTGCATGTATTTCAAAAAATTTGAGAAAAGCTGGGTTGCAAGGTCTCCTTCCTCTAGATCTGTCTAAATAAACGTTATATAATCAAGTTTTCTTTGTCATGTTTATGCTTAATTTGTTCGTTTATTTCCCAATTGAACCCCTCAAATTTTTGGCATCTTCGTACTGCCCACTCAAATTGATAGGGTTGACAAAATAATTGAGAGCCTTTATAAGACTTCCAACTTCAAGTAGATACACAATCTGTGATCGGAGTTCTGTCCCCGTAGTTGGCACTTGGCAGAGTAGTTGATACGTACTAAGGAAATTTGAATTTGTTTATCCAAATTAAGTGTATCATCGATAGATTAATTAATAATTAACTAATATAATAAATAATTTATTAACATATTATACCCAACTTAGATGTATCGATGATATACAAGAATTTCACTGACTTGCCGATGGTCTTTTTTTTATACGACCTCGAATATTTCGGTAACCGATTGACCGTTGCCAAGTCAATTTCATGGACCTGTCCATGATACCCAGCCACATGAGGGGGAGTTCTTTAGGATGATGCAGATATAATTAATGCTGAGTAACATTTAACGTTACTTTTTAATAACAATACCAAATAATTCTTATCCCCTATTAATTGAAATCGTAGTGTTAATATATATTGGTTTCATCTTGGTGAGTAGGGGTGAAATTGGACTGAGCCGGCCCCACAGGGGCTTACGGCTCGGTCTACGTCAGGTCATACCTGACTTAGTATATTTCGTAAAATAGGCCGAACTTGGACTTTGAAAAAACTTGTTTAATAAAAAAGTCGTAGGCCCACTTTCACAAGACCTGGCCTATAAGCCTACAGGACCGCCTATATTGTACTATTTATTTTTAAAAAATAGAATACTATTGTTAACCAAGGAAAAAAATTTGTGATAAAAATAAGATATACTTGGGACAAGTATGCCTTGACGAAAAATAAAAGATATAAATTTAATTAATTGTAATTATTTATAACTTAATTATATTCGATTATATTTAAATAAAAATCTAACTTTGTTTCTTATGTAGGAGGAACCAACATCTCAACATGTTAAATTGTGTATATGAATATATTAAAAAAAATTTGGTAGAGGTTATACTTACTACAAGCATCATGATGTGCTTGTTGGATTCATGTAATTATTTTAATTTACATAGT